ACTCACAAGCTGTGAGGTCATGACCTGAGCTGAAGTCAGACACTGAACCACCAAAGTGCCCCAAGGATGAGATATCTTTAATGTTACTGTATATGTAATTTATTTCATCGAAGTCCGTTTTTAAATGGTGTATATCGATATTCTGTATTTTTTGGTTTCATCTGCACTGGAGGGTTTCCTTAGAGCACAGTGTGGCTGCATGTTGGAATCACCTGGAGAGGCTAAAAAACTCCTGATGGCTGTGTTCCACTTGGAGAAATTTTAATTTAATTGTGATTTCAGTTTAATTAGCTTGGAATGCCTGTAGGGTATTTAAATATTCCCCGGTGATTCTAATGTGCAGCCAGGCTTAAGACCCACTTCATCAGCTTAGTGCAACTTAAGTATTTTCTCCATCCACTCTCCTCATTTTTTTATAATAGTGTTGAAGGTGGTAAAAACAAAATGGTGTAATACATTTTGTTGTGGAATGGTTTCATAGAGTAGAAAACATGGGTCAGTAACAGCCACAGAATCCTTTCTGAGATGATGGATGAGCTGCTTTAGAAGTCCTGACTCTTTGTGGGGATGGTCATGGCAATGAGAAGGTGGGGGAATCTTCCCTCTATATTAACATTTTTAAAAATCTGGGGGGTGCACAGGTGGCTCATTTGGTTGAGTGCTTCACTCTTGATTTTGGCTCAGGTCATGATGCCACAGTCCTGAGTTGGGCTCCCTATTGAGTGTGGAGCCTGCTTAAGATTCTCTCTCCCTCTGCCCCTCTCCCCCGCTCACACTCTTACTCTCTAAGAAAAAAAAATGTGAGCCTGCAGGTTGCTTCTGTGCTGCCTGTTTAGAGGCAGGAGTATGTGAGCTTGGGAAAGGGGGCACTGCCTGTTTTTCCTAGCTAGTATGGCAGCTGCCACAAGCCTGTAATTTGTAGAACTGAAGACAACCTGATAGAACATCGTTCCATTGTTTTCCCCAACCCCATCTACCCTTGTCCTCTCTCCCTGCTCCTGTATTGTTCGACACCTCACTGCTGATCTTCCAGCCCCATTTCTTAGTCACAGGGGATGTAGAGGATTTGTAAAAAATGTTTTTTAATAAATTAGTTTGTCTGTTGACCTTTGTACAGATTTTGAATTGAATTTTTGTCTTTTATTATTTCAGATGGTCAAATAAAAAAAATGTTCCTAAACTTGGTGATATGAATTCATCATTTGAAGATGTAGATGCATTTTATTCTTTCTGGTAAGTGAATACACTGTTCCTATGATGCTGTCATTTTTTAAAAGGATAAGTATGCAATAAATACTTGATTTTTCATAAATTTATTGAAAAATAGAATCACAGAACAAAAGCACTCTATTCAGAAATAATCATAATAGTTTTCACATACTGCTGTAATCTCCTACGTGATATTTAGGCTTCTATGATTTTTAAAATCTGTTTTCTAATCACATTTCTAGATATCAAGCATACTATTAAGGAGCCATTTGATTTCAGTAAAAATGAAAATATTTTCATTTGTCTTGCTATTAAAAATACTTGAATACACAAGGAAGGCAGTGCTTTTTTGTCTCTGATTCACTAATGTTTAATGAACACAATACTCATGGCCAATTTGTATTACATTTGCTGTATTTTCTGATTAAGTATCTGGTAAATGAAAACATGAAATTATTGTGAAACAAAAATAACCAAATTTAGCTCTACCAGTTGTAGTTGCTTTTCCCTTCAGAGGATACAAATCAGAGATATAATAGCCACTATGAGGGCTGCCTTAAGGCGTGACAGACTAGGAAAGGAGAAAGTAGGGAGAACTTAAACAAGTTCCAGGCAAGAGAAAAAGCTAATGGAGAGATGGCAGGGAGGTGTGATTTTAGTTTAGGGGTGAGAAGTATACTTTTAGATTTTCATACCAAATCAGTGTCATTTAACAAAGAGGAAGAAGACGACTTGAGCATAGTGTTAGTGCCACCATGTGAGGGGCGCTGTCTGCAAGACAACCTTGCCTTTAATGTTTCTTAGCACTATATGCACCTAACTTAATCTTACAAGGAAGATTTTTTTTATTTGTTAGCTTGATTTTTTTTTTTTAATTTCTATTTTAGGTATAATTTTGATTCTTGGAGAGAATTTTCTTATTTAGATGAAGAAGAAAAAGAAAAAGCAGAATGGTATGTATGTAAGTCACTAATAAAGGAAGATGGTTATTTGTGATGATGTAAAAATATACTACATATATTTTTTTGTATAAATTTTCTCTTTGTGTATCATTTTTTGAGTTGAGTGTTTTGAGATCCCATCTCACAAGTTAAACTAGATGGGGCCAAATGGTTAGGGTATGTTAACAAATGACCAACGAATATAATTGTCACAAAAGCTCAATTCAGCAAATTATTTTTCTTCTGTTTGCATAACTGGTTTACTTTTAGTTTTCTTTGTGTGTGTAGGGAAATACCTTCGACATGAATATTCTAAAAAAGTCAACAAAAATTAATACTAAGTAGAAGCACCCTTTAATGTTAATATCAGACATTATTTACACATAAATTTATAAAATATTACATTTTCCAGTCATACCATCTATAACCAATACTTTGTTTCCAATATTTTATAGTCGTGATGAGAGGAGATGGATTGAAAAGCAGAACAGAGCAACAAGGGCACAAAGGAAAAAAGAAGAAATGAATAGGATAAGAACATTAGTTGGTAAGTATAATTAGTATTTTTAAAAAGGTTCTTTGGGGGCGCCTGCCTGGGTGGCTCAGTCAGTTGATTCTGGGTCAGGTCATGATCCAGGGTCGTGGATCAAGCCCTGTGTCACACTCCATGCTGAGCATGAAGCCTGCTTAAGAGTCTCTCTTTCCCTCTGACCCTGTTCCCTGCTCACAGGTGTGCACTCTCCCAAAATCAGTCAATTAATTTAAAAGGATCTTTAGTTAAATGTTAGAAATTGAATTAGAAATTGAAAAAATTAACTTTTTTTTCTGGTAGACAATGCATATAGCTGTGATCCAAGGATAAAAAAATTTAAGGAAGAAGAAAAAGCCAAGAAAGAAGCAGAAAAGAAAGCAAAAGCAGAAGCAAAACGGAAGGAGCAAGAAGCTAAAGAAAAAGTAAGGTGACATTTGATGAAGCTAGACTTCAAATTGTTCATAAAATCTTTAATCTTCAGATCTCTTTTAAAAACTATAATCTTGAAGTAGAGAATTAGGTGCGACTGTGCGTAAATCTTGGTAAGTTGGTACCATTGATAATTACAGGGATATTTTTTACCAGCAAATTCTTACTAAGCAAAAACATGTCGTATACATTCCTTTAATACTATGCTTATTTCTGATGTTTCTATTTTATATTTTTAATAAATGTAGAAAGAACTTTACCAGCTGCTTTTCTCCGTTTAACCTTCCATCTTCAATAAGTTGACATGTCACATTTTTTCCTAATTTATTAAAAGATTGAATTTGTAAAACAGACATTTAGAAATCCTAATTTTCTTATTAAAATAATTTTATTTTCCATTAAAGCAAAGACAAGCTGAATTGGAAGCTGCTCGGTTAGCTAAAGAGAAAGAAGAGGAGGAAGTTAGACAACAAGCATTATTGGCAAAGAAGGAAAAAGATATCCAGAAAAAAGCCATTAAGAAGGAAAGGCAAAAACTTCGAAACTCATGCAAGGTGCGTCAGACTGTGATTGAACCAACACTAGGTAACAAGTAAATCCAATTGCTAATTAAACTTAAGAATATTTCTTTTTTATATTATGTAAATATAATTAAACTGGTGTACACATTTTATCTCATTTAAACATCTCTTAAATCCTTAAAATGCTTTTAAATTCATGTTTTTTTTTTTTAATTTCATGTGCAACTGTGATCAAGGCTTTTTTTTTTTTAACATAGCCATCATGCTATTTTCAAACCCCCAAAAGACTTGTTTAATATTCTAATAGTCCATATTCATATCTTTTTGATTATCCCAACAATGTCTTTGTATAGTTGGTTTATTCAAATTAGGATCCAAATAAGACCATTTCAAAGGCTTTAGTGTATGTCTCCTATTGTGTCTGTAACAGGTTCCCATATATTTTAATATATGCCATTCTGAATCTTCAGTTGATAATATAATTGAAATGACTCTGCCCTGTCAGCAGGCTGTGAAAAAGGTTTAACCAGAATACAAACACAGGTGGTCTTTTCAGGCTTTTGGTTGGTGAGAGGAAAGTCTAAATAGGAAAAAATGAAATGTTTTCCTCGGATTTCACCAAGAAAATTGTTTTGAGAAGGATGCAGTGTATCATGGTGGTAAAGGGTATGGGCTGAGAGCAAGCTGCCTAGCTTTGAAGTCATTCTTCACTTAACACTATCTATGGGCCCTCAGGAGGTTACATCAACCCATTTGTGCCTTAGTTTCCTCACCTACACATTAGCTGAATTGGTACCTAGTAATAGTGTTATGATGTTTAAATGAGAACATTCCCATGCAGTATGTAGCATATTTGGCATATAATGAGAAATCAGTAAAAAATTTAAAGAGGCCAATTAGAAAATAGAAAGCTTGAATAGTTCTTCGAGATGATGCGTAAACGAGGGTTAAAGTTCTGACGTTACATGACTTTGTTTTTATTGCTCCTTTCCAGGAGTTCATGTATTCATTCATCATATATCTGGTGAGCGCTTACTATGTGCAAGCAGTCATAATTGATGTAGATCTCATGATCATACAGTCCTTGCCTTCCAGAAATCTGGTTAATGGTGGAGAATGACAAGGGAACAGGCATTTCAAACACTTTATATTACTAGGATGAGGAAGGACCAAAAATCAGGTAGTCAAGGGAGGTTTTCTGGATCTAGTAGGATTCATCCAGGTGAAGTAGTATGTGTATGGGGTCAGAGATGAGAGACGTCAGGGAGCACTGAGAGAAAGCAGAGATCCATGAAGTGCGGTTTAATGAAGCAAAGGCCACCGAAGAGGTAAAGAGCCAGGTCTTGAAGGATGTTCTGTGTCTTGCTAGTTCGTATCTGCTCCTGAGTTGGTTTCGGTCAGGATGCTGAGGGAAGGCTTGAGGCAGAAACAGTTGGGAGTCTTTTGCTATAATCCAGGTGAGAATATTGTGCCTTTCAGAGAGGGTGGGAATAGAATAAGGTGAATGAAACGAGCCAGTATTTGGGAGGCAGGACAGGCTGCTGCCTAGGTGATACTGATTGTGTGCTGGAGGGAGGTAGTGTTAGTACAGGAGTATTTACATGTGTTCCGGTGTCTTGCATGGAACCCTGGATGGATGCTGGTATAATTCAATGAAACAGAAAATAAAGGAGGAAAAAGCTGAAAGGAAATGAAGAGTTCAGTTTATAGCCCTTTCCACCTCTGCCAGTTGACTTCAGTTTAGGGCATGTTGAGCGCACTGAGATACACAAATGGAAATTCTGAGTGGGTGGTTGGGTGTACAAGTCTGGAGTTCTGGGATCACGGTCTTCTCTATCTCAGTGGCACTAGGAGCCGTGTGAGTAGATCACCCAGAGAGAGGGCTGAGAGGGAGGAGGGTGGGGGATGCAAACACCCAAATTTAGGTACTGAAAGAGGAAGAAGAGCCCGAGGAGTGACGCAGACAGGTAGGAAGAAAATCAGTAGTGCTTTTTGGATGCTAGGGAAGGGTCAGCAGTAAAAGCATTGGGACCTTAGTGAGAGCCAGACTGTGTGCATTAAGGAAGCAAGGAGAAGTAAGGAATGGGAGACATTGGGCATAATCCTTAATCATAATTTTTCTAATATCTCCTGTTCCTTAACACATTACATTATCTTTTTAATTTCACATTTAAAATTTCTAGCAAACGTTACAGTTGAGCACACAGAAGATAGAACAGGCAGCCTAACAAAGAGAACATTGAGTACTCATACAGAATTTGATTCGTAGGTGGTTCCGAGGAATCCTTCTTTTATAACATCCAGAGATCTTCCACACCATCACCTTTTTTCTGTTTTGCTTCTCCATCGTCTTGGTAAAAGCATTTTTACTGCTAGCTGGTCAGGGGAGAGCCCTGGGAGTGTGGTTGTTAATGTTCAGAAGGCCATACGTTCACTTGAGGTATCTCTTGAGAACTTAATGCTCTGCTTATTGTGTTTATGGACGTATCACTCAGTGTCAGTAGATAAAAAATGAAAATGTTTGTGTTTGTGCTTCTAGACCTGGAATCACTTCTCTGACAATGAGGCAGAGCGGGTTAAAATGATGGAAGAAGTGGAAAAACTTTGTGATCGGCTTGAACTAGCAAGGTATAACCATAGGAGGGCTGTTGCAGTCTTTTCTTGGGCTTTGGATAAAGTTTCATCCCTTTTTTTCCTTTAGCTTACAGTGCTTGAATGAAACACTCACATCATCTACAAAAGAAGTAGGAAAGGCTGCTCTGGAAAAACAGGTAATAGAAGAACGCGTCCCTTCTACCTGTATTTAGCGTTTAGTTCTGCTTACAATATTGCTTTCACCTCAGGATTTCCCCACCTTACATAGAAGTTACTAATAAAGGCAAAGAATCTCATTTCTCTGTGTCCCTCAGTATGTGTTACTTCTAGTAAGCGCTTTTGTTATTTTAAATTGGACTTTGTCTGTATAGTTGTTACCATGTATAGTGCTTGATTTGTGTATCTAGCACGTTAATAATTGTTTGACTATTCCTTGAGCATTTTTGTAGGACATTAACATTTAGAACCAAAAGAGATGTTTGTTCTGTCTAGTGTATACCTTTTATGGTACAGATGAGGAAACAGGCCCAGAAATCCAATTTAATGCAGTAAGTATTAGTACCTACAATATACAGCACTATGCCTAAGTAGTTTGGAGAAATGCTTAATGCTGTTGCTGCCACAAAGGAGTTCAGGAAACTACACTGAGGAAAAAAGGCCTGAGGACCAAAAGATGGAGGATCTGCAGTAGGTGCTGTAGGTTAAATAGGAAGTGCCCAGTACAGGGCAGAGTGGTCAGGGAAGGTTCAGTGAAGGGTTTGAGCCAGCCTTGGAAGATGGACAGGGTGAAGATGAAGGTCAGAGGAACGCATGAAAAACCATATCACATGGGGGAGACATGGGAGATGGTTAGAAAAAGTAGAGCCAAATTAAGCAGGTTTGTAATACCATGATGCCTGGTTTCCATTACTGCAGAGGTCTGAGTAGCAAAGAGTTAACATACTATTAGTCTGGCGTTTGTAGGCAGGATGTGCCACGTAAGTGTGACTAGTTAGGACTGGCACCAGAAGGACTTGGGACTGTGAGGGATGATGGGAGTCACTGGAATCGCTGGACACTGGGGTGAATGGTTCTAAGGGGTGGAAGGAGGGAAATGAGTTACAGATGACCGACCCCAAGAGAGCCGTTAACAGAGCAAGAAGGCCACGTAAAGGTTTTCTTTTTTGTCTGTGCATGTCTAAAGGTAGACTGGAAGGAACGTTAAGGGTGGAACTTGAAGATAACAGGCCACTTTCTATGCCTTTACCTCCTTGTAGAGAATAAAGGATACTCTCTTCTGAAAAGAGTGGGGATGAGCTTGAAGAGAGATGTGAAATGGCTTGTGGGTGAAATAACCCAGTGTCCATAGACTCGACAAGTAGTGTCCAAAGCAAACAGAAGTCACACAGTATGAATACAGGGCAGGGCAGGCTATGCTTTGTTCTTGACTCCTCAAGCAGAGCTCTGCAGCCCAGAAGCCGGAGTGAGGCAAAGCCAGAGTGAAAAGCTGATGGCTGGTTTTGGGGTTGGCTCGGGAGGTGTTGTCGGTCATTGTCGGGATAGTGAGATGTGAGAATTGCAGGGAGAGTAGCTAGATGCTTTAAGTCTTTGACTTACCTATGATATTTGTGTAGATAGAAGAAATAAATGAGCAAATCAGAAAAGAGAAAGAGGAAGCTGAGGCTCGAATGCGACAAGCATCTAAGAATGCAGAGAAATCAACTGGTGGGAGTGGAAATGGCAGTAAAAACTGGTCAGAAGATGATCTGCAATTACTAATTAAAGCTGTGAATCTCTTCCCTGCTGGAACAAATTCAAGGTACTGGTTTTAATGAAACTTGTCTTGAGCATGTATACTGGGGCCTGGGGAGAATGCAGACAAGCACCCAGAGAGCACTGGTTAGAGCAGAAACTTCCAGGGAATGCTGGAGTCTAAATTTTGTCCCACAGTAGAAAGTGTGAAAAGCAGGGTGTATTTTGAACCTGGTTTTTTTCAGTTTACACCAACTCACATACGTGTATGGATGCCATACAGTGGATGCTTCACTAATTTTTCAAGAACTTAAAGATCGTGAGACATAAACCGTGACTCTCATGTTGGCTTATTCCATTGTGGCTAGTACTAGGGACTAGGTTTTTGCATTCTGAAGTTTTCTCTTACAGCCTTAATCCTTCTTTCTGGCTTCCCACCTCAAACCAGAACTTACTGCAGAGTCTGAGTTTAGAACTCAAAAGAAGACTTATAGATCCAGCCTCCTTCTTTCTATAGTTGAGGAAACTAAAGCTGTTGGCAGAGAATGATTTATCTCTACGCGTCCAAATGGCAGTATACACAAATGTGTGATTTTCTCTTGGTTTGTACACAGAATCTGTAAGGTTTTATACAGACTTGAAGCCAAGATTATATACAGTTGGTTTAAACATATGAAAAGCAAAAGGTATAATCCAGGTAATAGTAAGGAGACTACCAGTTTAGAGTGAATTCTGTAGATATTATAGCTAACTTGTATACATTACAAACATAGGGATCATTCTGGCTTTTATTTGGGGGTTTTTCCCTCTTAAATTTATTACATTGGTGTCTCTAGATGGGAGGTTATTGCTAATTACATGAACATCCATTCTTCTTCTGGAGTCAAGAGAACTGCCAAAGATGTTATTGGCAAAGCAAAGAGTCTTCAGAAACTTGGTGAGTTAGTTTTGCAAAATCAATACGTTTGCTACCTCAAATGCATTTTTCAAAAATCTGTGCAATTTAATGACTAAATGAGATGACCTGCAATAAGTTTTTTTCATTTCTCAGACCCTCATCAAAAAGATGACATAAACAAAAAGGCATTTGATAAATTTAAAAAAGAACATGGAGTGGTGCCTCAAGCAGACAACGCAACACCTTCGGAACGGTTTGAAGGTAAATTTTGTTTTTCTCTAAGTAGAAAATGCTAGCCCTGTACCCACACTATGTGAAGATAGACAAAATGTAGGGGTCTGTGTTCAGAATAATTAGAAAATAAAATGTTTAGCAGACTAGAAGATGGACAGCAAGCATTTTCAGGACATTCATATAACTGAAAATTACAGTTCTTCCATTTCAGAGGCCATTAGGGAAGGAGCTGGGTTTCTTTTGTTTACCAGATTTTACAAAGCAGTATTAAAGGATGTGGGGACAGCTGAAATTTGAATAAGCTCTATGGACTAGGTAGTAGTATTTTATCCAGGTTAATTTCCTGATTTGGGAAAATACACTATAATTACGAGAGAAAATGTCCTTGTTTGTAAGGAAAAAGCTAAGAAGTAAAGGGGCATCATGTCTGCAACTTACGTGGTTCAGAATAAATTATGTCTGAGATACACAGAGAAAATGCAGGCATGGTGAAAATGTTTACATTTGGGGAATCTGGGTGGCATATACAGGGATTCTTTGTTCTTCTGAAATCATTTCAAAATATTAAAACATATTAGGGTGCTGACATTGTCTTAGGTGTTCTACCTAATTTGATTAACCTGGACCAGTGTTTCAAACTCCAAATTGTGACTCCCTAAGTGGGTCATGAATAGAAAATATCAGAGAGCATTACACCTCTTACATAAGTGTAAACAAAGTTGTGAAACTTTTGTTCATGTATATACATTTGGGATGTGACTTGTTTTCTTACGGTGAGTGGCTGACAAAGTTGGAAAAAGTTCTGTTTCACTTCGTGCATTTTTGAGCCACTAATCTTGAATATGCTTTCCGGATCACAGTTCCAAATGCATGTTTTGGGATTAACTAATAACTCAATGTGATAACCTACCTCTGTCCTCTAACAGTCCCACTTTTACTAATCTGGTATATTATCCCAAAATTTCAGTTTGAAAATACTAGAAGAGGCTTATCACACTGTGTTATAAAAATCAGAGGTGATTTTTTTTTGGGGGGGTCTAGGCCGGGCATTATTTTTTTTTTTTTAAGTAACAAAAGCAAGTTACAAAACACTTGGAAGGCACTTCTAAAGGGGTTTATTCTCCTCCTTTTATGCCCTCCATCTTTTTTCCAAGAGAGAAATCCATGGTGTTAAATGTGGGCTTCAGACCAATGAAAGGAAATTCCACTGAGGGCTTCCCTGGAATTTGAAAGCGGACTACATCCAGGTTTTTAACTATTTAACATTTTCCTACAAATGGGATGTGTAATACTTACAATCTTAGATGGACCTATATTTGTTTCTGATACATGTTGAGAGGTCTTGTCAAGCATAAAGGGGTTAGTTTAGTAGAGGTTCTTATTAGCATTGGTTCTGCAAGAAATGTGTTGAAAATGCCACACTGGAACACAGAATCTAATGTCACCTTGCCTCTACACTGAAACTTGGGCACTTGATTTTCCTAGGCTCTTTCTTCCAGTGTAAACTGAAAATGTTTTTCAGGGTCTCATCGGCCTAAAAGTTTAACTGTCAGGCAGCTTCCTTATGATTTATCATTTACACTTGTGTTTTTGAACCAGTCTGGTAAGATTATTATTAGGTTGAAGAGATCAGCATTATAATAGGTATTTCCGATTTACTTTAAAAAAAAAAAAAAAAAAGCCTCGAGAGATTTTTGGGGATGTGAGCTAGATCTCCGAGTTTTTTTCTCTTATTTAATACTTGAGAGGCTTTTGTGTGTGTCATCTCTAAAAATCTGTTCAAAATTACCACAGATCTGAATGGCCACTTACCAAGATACCTGTGCACCAAAAGATTTATCTGCAAAGGTGTTGCAACAGAATTTTCTATCAGGATGAGATTTATCAAATAAAAATTTTTCTTAAACAGGTCCATGCACAGATTTTACCCCTTGGACAACAGAAGAACAGAAACTTCTGGAGCAGGCTTTGAAAACGTACCCAGTAAATACACCTGAAAGATGGGAGAAAATAGCAGAAGCAGTGCCTGGCAGGACAAAGAAGGACTGCATGAAGCGATATAAGGTAGTAGATATTTAGTGTTTATAAATTCCGTTACCATCTATTTGTGTGTGTGTGATGTCACCACCACAGTAGTTGTGAGGGTCAGTATTACAAGAAAGCTTTCCAACTCTGGCGGTTAGTAAAATCAGCCTTTTTGGTGGTAATCATAATATACAGATTTACCCAATTTCAATGTTTTACATACTTCTGCCAAACTAAACACCAGAAAAGTATGCAAATTCTGACAATTTCTAACACCTTTCTCCCTTCCTAGGAACTCGTCGAGATGGTAAAAGCTAAGAAAGCTGCCCAAGAGCAAGTGCTGAATGCAAGTAGAGCCAAGAAATGACTTCTGACAATCTTTGTTGTGTGTGCATTTTTATAATAAAACTGAAAATACTGTACAAATTTTCATTCTTAAAATTCTATTTCAAGTGTGCTATCTACCATTCGCTGTGGTGGTCTTACAGCCTTTCAAAGTCTGATGCAGTATTTCATTCAAATTTTCAAGTATATTTTGTAGCTTAAAACTTGCAGATCTGTTAGCTGTATAAATATATATGGTCGAAATATGTTGATTAGGAGCATTTTAATCATGAAGCCAGCACATGTTACTGCGAATCTGGTTAAAGTCTGGCAGTTGCTCAATGGGACCTAAGGATTAAAAGACAAACAGTTAAAACTGAATAAAAGACAAGTACTTAGGCATTAGGCACCCTGTACTTCAAAGAAAAGGAGCCAGGCTTACCAACAGCAGCAAGAGCTGGACTCTTATCATAAATATATTTGGTGCACACTTCTTGGATTATCTCTGCATTTACAGCCTGAAATAGAGAAGATAACTAGCATTCGGAGCTTTTCATAGTAAAGACACATTCTGTACCTGGAACTTTTTAGAACTAAAGCAGGAATTTAGGACACCTATTTTCAGCTTTGTCACAAGGAACTTTTGTACAAGCCTCACAGTGTCTAAACACTACTTACATCAATTCTTGCTTCAAGCTCAGGGATGGGAATTCTTCTGTTATAGCATAACATTTGCCTGCCAATATCTTCACAGATTGGAGTGGAACCTGTTTACAAGAGGAGGAAACACTTAGGTACTGGAATATTGATCAACCATATGAAATAGAACTTAGGTCTTTATTCTTACCATCAAGTTGCAACAACATGTTTGTTTTCAGAAGGTTTTTGGCTCGTGCAACTTCGCTTTCTGTTACACTTGTGCAGAGTCGCATCCTAAAACCAAATCAAAATGTCAAGTAGTTTGAAAATGACTTTTTGAGTTAATGACTTAAAGACACTATACATATTATTCCACAACATACACATAATTATGATTTCAACTTAGTGAAAAGTTATTAATGATCCCAATAGCTACACAAAAGCTAAAATAATACTGATGCTTTTCACTTTTTTTTTTTTAAATGTTTGTTTATTTTTCAGACAGCGTGAGCAGGAGATGGGTAGAGAGAGGGAGACACAGAATCCGAAGCAGGCTCCGAGCTTTCAGCACAGAGCCCCATGTAGGGCTTGAACTCATGAACTGCGAGATCATGACCAGAGTCAAAATTGGAGGCTTGACTGAGCCACCCAGCACCCCTGAAATAATACTGATTCTTATCCTGGTATTAATTTTTCTTAACCTTAGTATGATTGCAGATAGAGGTTCGATACAACACAAAGGTAGGCTGACCACGTTTTGAGACCTGCTACCATCACTTTGAGACTTCACGAATCCTCATACTAGGCTCTGATCTGCTAGAAGAGAGAGGTTAGTGAACCACTAGGTTCTCACAAGAATCCAGCTGACTTATACCTACTGATTAACAATTACACCCCATTGAGGAGCTTTAGAGACATACAAGCCATTTAAGAATGGTGGAGGAGGGGCGCCTGGGTGGCGCAGTCGGTTAAGCGTCCGACTTCAGCCAGGTCACGATCTCGCGGTCCGTGAGTTCGAGCCCCGCGTCGGGCTCTGGGCTGGTGGCTCGGAGCCTGGAGCCTGTTTCCGATTCTGTGTCTCCCTCTCTCTCTGCCCCTCCCCCGTTCATGCTCTGTCTCTCTCTGTCCCAAAAATAAATAAAAACGTTGAAAAAAAAATTAAAAAAAAAAAAAGAATGGTGGAGGAGAGGAACTTCCTGCTTCAAGGCAGTGGTTCTGAGTAAAACAATACATTTTTCTTTAGCAATGGCAACTTCAGATTTGTATAACACCACCATTCAAACCAGGTAACTTGCAAAACTTTAGGAACTTCTTTCTGAAGTAACCTTCTTAAAGATTAAGAATTTTCTATAAATCAACTTCACATGAGACTTAAACATCTGTGATCTTTAAAAACATGGCAACCAGCTATTTAATTTTTTTTTTAATGTTCATTTTTGAGACAGAGGCAGAGCATGAATGGGAGAGGGTCAGAGAGAGAGGGAGACACAGAATCTGAAACAGGCTCCAGGCTCTGAGCCATCAGCCCAGAGCCCAACGCGGGGCTCGAACTCACAGACTGCGAGATCATGACCTGAGTTGAAGTCGGACGCTTAACCGAGTGAGCCACCCAGGCGCCCCTATTTAGTCTTCTCTTGACTAAATGCTAGGTATCACCATCAAAACTAGTCAACAGTGTAAAAACATGAATTCTAGGGATGCCTGGGTGCCCTAGTTGGTCACGTGTCCGACTCTTGATTTCAGCACAGGTCATGATCTCATGGTTTGTGAGATAGCCCTGTGTTGGGCTCTGTGCTGACATTGATGCGGAGCCTGCTTGGATTCTTTCCCTCTTTCTGCCTCTCCCCTGCTCGCTCTCACTCTCTCAAAATAAATACGTAAACTTAAAAACAGTGTGAATTCTAAACAAGATTTATTTTCTCACCATTCCTTCTGAACAACATGTAGCATATCTGCAATGGTGGCCGGTTCACAAACCATATAGATGCCCCATAATCCTGTATCTGTGTAGGACGTGTTGAAAGACTGGAAGCTATGACACAGGTTGCCGTGACAGGTGAGCTGGGCCAGCTTACTAGATAGATTCTGTAACGAAAAAAATTTTCGAAGAGAACTGTAGGTATACGTGCCCAAATTACCAGAAAGCAAAATGAGTTCTGTGGCAAATAGTGAATGCCCTGAGAAGCTGTGTCTCCGTTTTATCTAGCGGCATCTCAATATGAAGTTAAAACTCAATGAGACTAAGAACAATACTTCCCTCACCAGCCCAGTGTACCCCCAGAGAAATTCACAACGTAAAAGCAATGAATCCTTGTAATTAACATAGCAGCTGCACCAATACTAAAATAATTCATTCCCGTTACCAACCCAATTTGTAGGGCTCCTCGCTGTGTATGCTTAAAGATTTCAAATTCTATTGCATGTGAAGCCTACGATGTTTATATGAAGTATATTTTGTTGAAATCGTTGAGTACAAACATACTTTATATTTTGAAGTAATTTCAGACAGAAAAGGTACAAAAACAGTATGAGGAATTCCTTTATCCAAATTCTCTAACAACTGTTATTTTACCATGTTTGCTTTATCCTCCTCTTTAACATATTTTTTCAAACTGTTTGAGAGATGTGATGTTTTGTGTACACTTCTAAAACCCAAGGAGATTAACATCAAAACAATTATTAAAACTAGAATATTAACACTGATAATGGTACTATTAGTGAATTCTATCCTCCTTCAAATTTTGCTAATTATCCAACTTACATACTTAGGACACACACAAAAATCTTTCCCAGCCCAGGATGCACTCCAGGATCAGTCTGTATTTTAAACGTCCATTCACAAGACAGAGTTCTGCCTTGACATTTATTATGGAAAATTATTCTTAAAATCACTTACCATTCCTCCTCCAAAAGAGCGATCCCAGTTGCCAATCAGTGTGTTTGCAACCATGAGACATATTGTATCTGGATGTGCCCAACCAACAGCTTCAACAGCTATTGCAAGATGTGCCAAAGGCATCTTGTCATCCCTCACTCGAATCTAGTTAAAACAAAGAAAGCACAACTCTAGTGAAGACTGCCTGTGTATAGGGGCGCCTGGATGCCTCAGTCATTTAAGTGTTCGACTCTTGGTTTCAGCCCAGGTCATGATCTCAGTTTGGGAGATTGAGCCCCGCGTCAGGCTCTGTGCTGACAGTGCGGAGCCTGCTTGGGATTCCCTCCCCCTCTCTGCCCCTACCCTGCTAATTATAATTACACCCTCTCTTTCTCAAAATAAACTTGGGGGAAAAAAAAAAGACTGCCACTGTGTAACAGGCTTAACAGGAAAAGAAACACATCATGCCTCATTACATTGAACAGTCTAATCCAGAAAGATTTCTTGAGTTCTGGAAAGAAAACTTCACCAAAAGATCTGCAACTGAAATACTACAGGGGCACCTGGGTGGCTTAGTCAGTTGAGTGTCTGACTCTTGACTTTGACTCAGGTGATGATCTCACAGTTTGTGCATTCTGCATCCTCTCTCTCCTCTCTGCCCACCCCCCCACCCCACATGTGCATGTTTGCTCTCACTTAAAAACAAAACAAACAAACAAAAACTACATACATAGCCACCAGATGGTTACCTGGTCAAAAAGGACTGCATTATTTCACTGGCAGAAATCAGGAACATTCTAATTTCTAATCGTGACACAACTGTCTATTTTCTAACAGGGACACAAAGCTTATTTTTGTCCTACCAATGCTACAGTTCTATGCATTTACCAACATCAGGCCACTTTTGATAGATTTCCTTCGAGCACCATCCCTAATGTGGCAAACTAGGCCTCCGAACGAGACTTATGGCTACAGCTGACAAGTAGCAGATTCTCTGCAAGTTCTGGCTCTAACAGCTACTCCCAGAAGTGTACTGTGGGCAGAACTTAATGAAGAATAAACCTGATGTGAAAATCAAAATTTGGGGAGTTTTAAAAATAGAAACACTTTTATAGCTCACAATACATAACTGGGCACAGTGTCAAAGAAAAAGCATAAGAAGACCAAATTATCACATTCCCCTCAAAACCTTGTTTCCTTATTAGGAAACTAAGTGGTTAAATAATATGGACTATAAGCAAATGAATCCATCCTTTTCCCTTTTTCTATGTTTCAATTTAAGCCTCTGGTTTCTTCCATTTTACTCCTGTTAAAAATAAGCACATTTTGTACACTCATTCATAAATACAACCCAAGAAACCCAAAGGGCTAAATACTAGCTAAGGAGGCTTGCCCTACCTCACTTCCTGTGAATTTGCAGGGAGGCAGAGCTGGTATTTCTCCTTTGTGTGTGGACAAAGAGTCACCAAAATGAAACTTGGCTAACTCAAGCAGTTCATCATGGGAAACTCCTAAATTGAAGGAAAATA